TGGGCGCTAGACTCGCAGGGAGGAGGGGGCCCCCTCGGCCCCCACCAGCGCTCCAACAAGTGGATGAGGCCCTCAGGGGAGCCTAGGGGACGGGAACAGGTGGGGGCGGGCTTCCCCCCAGACAGCCGAATCCTTCCAGAGGATTCAGGAGTAGAGGGGGCTGCGTGTGAGGAGACGGCTAAAGGCTGCTCCTCCACCCTAGGCATAGAGAAAAGGAGCTTCATCTAGATAGGTAGAGCTATCACAGCACATCTGGGCAGCACATCTGGTGGCCTCCGAGGGAGAGAGGAAGTGTGGGTGCACACGACTGGCATGGAGGAATTAGGGGGTCTGGATCCTGGAGAGGAGGCTATGGGGCTACACTTGAAGGTGCAGCCACATTTGCCTGGAACCCTCCACACCTGGTGGAAGAAGTCAGAATGGATAAAGGGTCTGGGTCCCCTCACATCTGGCCCAGGGCCCACATCTGGAAGACTTTAGGGAGGAGGGGACATATCTGGGCTGAAGGCCACAGCAGGAAGGGTACTTCTGAAGTCGGTTGACTAGAGGGTGTTCTAGCCCCGGGGTCGGATCTGGTGTTGGAGGACGGCAGAGGTGAGGGAGGGTCCAGGAAACGGTAGGGGAAGCCTTTGGCCCTCAGCTGTCCCACAATGTTGGGCACTATGTGCAAGGGCGGGCGCCAACCGGCACAATCGCTTTTGTTGTCTGGGCTGGTTCGGCCTGGCTCTCTGCTGGCCCAACGCCCCCTTCTTCGGCAGAGGGAGCCCGGACGCCTGGCTTCCCGGCCCCACCCTGATGGGTCAGCGCCTCTGGCCTGCTTCTACTTCTGTCCCGGGCTCACCTCGCACAGCCGGACGCTGGGGTCCCTAGAGGTGGCCGCGTCCTGGGGGGTGGGGTGGGCTGAGCTACAGTGGGGGGCGGGTAGGCGGCGGCTGGACCGTGGGAACCAGACGGCTTTATCTGGCCCGGAACCCCCCGCCCCACAAGCGGAGGAAGGGCGGATATTCTTACCCCTGGCCTGGCTGGCGGGGGCGCGCTGTAGGGGCCTCCTTTTCAGCACTGCTCGGCCCCCTGGCCCTCGGGGCCTTCGACGCCTCAGTAGAGCTTGGGCCTCCTGAAGCCTGGGCGGTGGGGGTGGAGAAGTGGCTGTCAACACAGTTAGATTGAAACACCCCCCCAAAACACACACACACACACACACACACACACACACACACACACACACACACAC